AATTCATTTTTCATCAAAAAATTTTTTTGCTTTCAGAAAATATTGTCCACATTCATAAAAACAACTAAAAGCAAATAAAAGCATTTGAAATTAAATAATATTTTTGTTTTATTGAGTTTTGTATGTTATAATTCAGAGCTGATTTTCAGGTAGAGGGGTCCAATTAAAAAAAAAATTACATGATTTGCTTTCCTCAAAGCCTTGTGCTTTTAACTAATATAATCACTAAACACCTCAAAGAGAACCTTCCCTATTCACAATCACTTAGACTCAGAAGGATATGTTCTAACAATGAAGAACTAAATAAATACATTGAAAATCAATTCACAACATGGGGCTATAAACAACACCTAATCAGGGATCAAATAAATAAAGCAACTTCCACACCTAGAGAAGATATCCTAATGTACAAGATTAAAAATAAACCCAGCTACATCCCTCTAGTAATCACTTTCAACCCCACTCTGCCTCCACTATCCCAAATAATCAAAAGTCGCTGGAAAATACTACATCTCAAATCAGACCCCCAAAAATTGTTTGGGAACCTGGCCTTCTAGCATATCGTAGACCTAAGAACCTAAAAGAAATCATGGGTAGTAACCACATTTCAGTGGACAAGGTAATCCGTAATAAATCAACAACAAAAACAACAGGATTTTCCCAACCATGTAACAACAAAAGAAGCTTATGCTGCAACCACATTAAACACACAAATTCATTCACTAGCTCAGTCACTAAATCTACTTTCAAAATCTACATTGACCTCTACCTGTAGAAATCATAACATAATTTACCTCCTAGAATGCACACTATGCCAGAAACAATATGTAGGAAAATCTGAATGGCCCTTTTACTACAGAATTAATAATTATCCTAAATAACACACACTTAACAGAGACATATCTCCTTTCCAGGAACAAATAAAACTGTCAAAATGACCAGTTCTTATCTCAAATAACAACTTAAAAGAGACTGTTTGACCAACACAAAGACTAACCAAAATTCATGTTAAAAAAAATAAAAAAACAAATGAAAATACTCTCATACTTACACTCCCTCTAAATTCTATTTTTATTTCCGGAGTTGTTTTTTCTGTTTTCTTTTTGAATTTGTAGGTCTGATGAATTGGATTGTATTTACGATTCCAATGGAATAAATTATGACCATGGAATATTAGTGTTTAAGCCTTTTTATTATATCCTTACTCTGTCTTGGACATTGAGTTCTACCTGTATTCTATCCTCTTGGAAATTTTTATTCAAAAAATATATATGTATGTGTATGCATCTATGTATATATATTTATATATTTTGCATATGTATGTGTGTATATTTACCACTAATATTATCTATCTATCTATCTATATATATATATATATATATATATATATATACACACACACACACACAAATACCTGCAAAAATAACAGCTGTGCCACCAACAGTGTTTTGATGATGACTCTGGGGTCAGGTATAGTTTCAAGGACAAATCCTATTACCACTAACATTTTTACATCACAGTAGCATACTTGTCTATAGCAGAAAAAATTCCCATGAATAGTCAACAAAATACTCAATTATTTATACGGTTTGTCCTTATGCCATCTTAGTTAAATCACCTCATATAAAAATATATAAAGAGAGCTAGAAAATTGTTGACTAAATGATGATTTTAGTTTAATCAACAGTCTGGAACAAGGTTATTATAGGAAATATGTGTACAAGTGCTTGGTTCAGTACTTCTGTGGTAGTTTAGCAAGCAATTTACTGTATGTGATCGTTCCATTCTTAGTATTGAAGTATAATAAAAGGTTCCTTTGTAAATGAGACTAATGCAATTTTTAATATTTATTTTTATATCAGTGATAAGAAACTTGATATTCTGGTTACATATTATATGTCTGCATATTGGATATTTTATATAAAGAAAATTTTGAGATAAAAAACTTTTCAACATTTTACTTCAGTTTTCTGCTTTCCTTATACTTTTCCACCTGTAACTATGAACTGAACAGTTTTTCATTGACTATATGATAAGATTATGGTAAATATTTACGTTACCATTAACGTAAATAAGGTTGTAAGCCAGATGATGTTACTACTTATGCTGATAAAGTTATGACTTTGCTTGAGAAAATTTCAGCTTTTTTTATTTTTATTTTTTTATTTTTTTTAAACTTTAAGGGGATTTCTCCATCAGTATTTCTGCAAGCAGAAGCAGTAAATATATCAAAATGTTAATATTTGTAAATGAATTAAAAATGATTCAGAAGATATATATAATTGCCTGCAGCATACGACAAATGAATATTTCATTGTCGGGCATTTTTGTCATTATTTTAATAATATATATGAATAAAAAGAGGCAAGAAGAAAAACTATTCTTAGCTGACATGTTTTGTCTCCTGAGGGACTTTTTCAAGGTAATGTAGGATTTATTTTGCTGCACATGTTTACATACATGAAGGTGAGGATGTCATTGGTTTATCAAGCCTTTTAAATTTGAGAACATTTATAACTGTTCATCAGGTGGTTGAAAGGTCAGTCAAAACATGTGAAGGACACAGTCATAATTCAAGATCTGTCAAAAAGTAAAGTGAGTAATATATATATTTTTTTTTTTAAATCAATATTATTTAGATTGTGATGGTATGAGATGGACATATGTGCTCTATATCTTCAAAGACATGAAGTGATGGATTTAACCATTTATTTTTGATTTTTCAGCATGTTTGTGCTTGTCTATGTTGGCTTGGGAAAGTACTAATTCTTTCAGGAAAGGTGAGATTGGGGAAAAAAACTGGGGCATAGATTTATATGTTGGATATATCCAGGCAACATCATGGTGTTTGGAGTGATCACTAATGATGGCAACATTATGCCTCCATTCATCTTCTCATGGGCCTCATTCAACATGGAGGCCGACATCAAGTGCCTTGAGGAAGTAGTGCTGACCTTGGTCAAGAGGGTGGCTGCTGGAAGACCCTATTTCTGGTAACAGGATTCTGCACCATGCCACACAAGCAGGAGAACTCTGTCATGGCTGTCAGACAATTTCTCCGGCCACCAAAGTCCCCAGACTACAACCCCCTTGATTATTATAATGCTGTAGTGAACAATTACGTAGAAATAAACGAGTCAGAGTGGCTTGCATCTGGTGTTAAAGAAAATAACTTCCTTACCTCAATACGTGACATGTAGCAGCGATGTTTTGTTACCTTGGAAATGGCATGAAGCTTCCACCCCCCCTAGTTATGCTGAAAGTGTATGATTTTGAAACATTGGCTTTTATACAGCTTAGTGCGGTTTGACCAATAGCAATCCACATGTTGATTGATCAGACTGGGGGATGACATTTGATTGTGTGAGTGAAGAGAAAGTGGAGAACGCTGATTGGTCAGTTAACTGTGGTTTTGGTATAATAAAAAGGGCTGGAGCAGTAGGAAGGGGGTGTCAATTTTTATGTTGATGATACATGTGTGAATTTGAGAATAGTGTCTTCAGAAAGTAGAATTAGGTGTTGTAAGAGCATCATCTGAGGAATCCAACCTCATTTAACTACCTTTTAACACCAAAGATGAACTGAAGGCAAGGATTATGGCAGCATTTCTCAATTTAAACAAGGAGACTGTCCAGTAGAGTTGTTGGAGATTCTGAAGTCGTCTGGAGACCATAGTTGATGTCAATGGCAATTTTATTGAATAATTTTACTCTTTAGTATTTCAAGAAATTTTTGTGTAATTTTGGTAAATATATTTGTTGAAATGAAATGTCAGTGTTATTTTCATTTTTGTGTAATTTAGATGACAATTTATCCATCGCACACGCTATATATATATATATATATATATATATATATATATATATATATATATATAAGAATAAATTTAGTTTGTGAAAACTTGTTTGGAAAAAAAACAATTGATATATATATATATATATATAAGCAAATATATGGATATAGATCCGGCAGTATGAAGAAAATATACGGAAAAAACAAACAAAAATCTTAATATGCAATTATGTTGTTTTAATGTTAATATAATGTCAACGTCAGACGTTTCGGTCTCCTGAAGATGGTTTATTAGACCGAAACGCCCGACGTTGACATTATATTAACATTAAAACAGCATAATTGCATATTAGGATTTTTGTTTGTTTTTTCCGTATATTTTTCTTCATATATATATATATATATATATATATATAATAATAATTTTTTTTTCCAAATGGGTTTTCACAAACTAAATTTATTCTTTGTGCAGATACCTTAAAGTAATAGCAAAACGAATTATCTGACCTTGCTATTGATTTCTTTTTAAAATCTGTCACAGATGTTTCATAGTTCTGGGTTACTACATGTTCACCTGTAAATATCTAGTTGATTAAACAACAATGTCGTTTATGAAATTATTGATATTATGCAAATAAGATTTTCCATTGATAATTCATATTATTATTATTATTATAATTAGTCTTGTATCTGCTTAAAATATTTGTTTCAGTTCTAGTTCTTTAAAGTTCTTGTTCTGTATTGATTTTTTTTCTTTTTGATAAATAAGTTGTTGAGAGTCATCATAATATTTTATAAGACAATCTCTGATAAGACAACAATTCATTGTTTTACCTTACTCATCTTTCATTACGTAGCCTAATTGTATTCTGACTCACACATATGTATATAGGCATGTATATAGATTGGCAGATATTTTATATCAGAAATATAAGTATGTGAAAGTGTTTGTAGATATCACTGTTAACAGTCACACCACTATGAAGATTACAAAACATTTATTCATTCTAACAGCTGTCCTCTTTTATGACATTCCTTTCACTTGCATATAGCTCATAATATTCACTACGGATCTAACTTGAGAAAATCTCCATGTCCAGTTTTATGTTGAAATCACTAAAGTTGGCTCCACTTTTATCAGCGGGTTTATGAGATTTTACTGGATTTCATATTAACAATATTACTGTTGATTTTGAACAGGGTCTACCATGTCGCAGGTAAAGTTTCTAAACTCAAATCTAAAACCTTGAATGAACAGAATTTGATTACTTGTTAAATATTTGATAGCTGATTGTTTTCTTAAAATGAAGTGTGTGAGACTGGATTTCTAATGTTGAAAGCATTAAAAATGTTTATTTTGCTCAGGTGTGACTGGCTTTTTAAGTTTACTCATATGGTTATGAAGTTTGACTAGTTTTTCTTATTATTTTTGTCATTTTTTATTGTAATGCTAAGTTTGTTTTTATATTTTATAATTATTAAGTATCTTTGATTGGAAATAAAGAAGAGCAGATAAAATCTTATTAAGTGCTTCTTTATTTCAAATATATATTGCTATATATATATATATATATATATATATATATATATATGTAACTTGATGGTTGTAGAATGTAAAAAATCAAACAAAAATGAAAATTTAATTGTAGAAACTCGAGCAATTTTTCTCAACATTTTTTTATGGCTCACCAAACAGAAGAAAATTATCAAAATAGAAATTGATATATTTTAGAACATTTTAGTTTTGATTTTGAACTAATTTTGTACAATTTACATTCAAAATTTTTAAATTTAGAAGTGATAAAAATATTATTGTGTATTTGATGTTTTTATTTATTTATTTTTTATCAAAATACTTCTTGAAAATGAAACCATTTTTACATATAACTATCATATTATGCAATATTCAAATTTGTTCAGCTATACAGGAATATAATGTATAAATTTGAATAAGCTAAATATAAAAAGTTTTAATTTATTTGTTTCATACTCTTGAAATGTGTTTTTCATGAAAGAAAAATTTAGAATTTATCTTGTAAAAGAAAATGCACTATTCAAAATTTTCATTAATAGAAAGTTGTTTTTTTTTGTTTTTTTTTTCAACTATTAATTTGAGATCTAGTATGTTGTTGTTATTACATTGTAAGTAAACTAACTATTCTGACTACTGAGCAATCAATATTTTTTTAATTTTTGTTTTTACTATTGTTCACCCAGTACAAGGCCTAAGTGCTAATCAACATAGAAGGTTACTGAATGAGGATGTTCTAAGGGCATAGAAGGAGAAAGCAAATATTACATATTATGATGATATGTTGGCTAGATAACAGTTGACCCTTGGCTCAAAGTGGTTAAAATTGTAGTGATTCTGGAAAGTATCCTCTTGGGAGTCTGTTCCACATTGTTAAGGTTCTGGGGAAGAAGTTGTCTGAGTGAAACTTATATCCTTACTAATGGAATAAAAAGGGCATGAGGATGAATTGAATCAGTGTACATGTTGTGGCAGGTCCTAGCTGTGAAGGTCTGGACTGGTGTAGCCAAGGAATATAGTTTCATTTGAACATCTGCCATGAAAATAGCCATAGGCTAGCAGCATTCTCTGGGAAAGGAGTTGAATAATGGAAAAATAATTAAACACCACAAGGTTGTGTAAATGCTTTTGAACTTGGCAAGGCTGGAAAGTAAAAATTGGGCAGATCTGGTCCAGATATGGCAGCAATATTCCATTATTTGTCTGGTTTGACTCTTGTAGAGATAGAGCATGGCAGGAGGATACTTGCATTCCTTCAAGAAACGAAAATAGTTTCTTGCAGTTTTAAACTGAATATTTAGATATGCATATTGAAATACCTACATAAATCTTAATTACTGTTCTGAACTAACAGAAACAATGTGGCATTACTGTTTATTTTATATTAGCAATGTCAAAATGGCAATATTTTAACACCTCCAAAACTTCTCTCCATTAATCATCTGAGAGGCCCCTTTCAGCCTTCGATCAGCATGGCTGATGCTAACCTCCAGGAAAATGACTCATTGTACCTTCTCAAGTTAATGTTCTCAACTGACATGAAGTGGAAAAACTATATTGAATCCATTACTAGGTCAGCTGCTAAGAAAGTTGGTTTACTGTTTCATGCAAGACAGTTTTTCTCTCCAGAATCCATCTTACATATATATGTTTACTATTTATCCATGTACAAGAATATTGCTGCCACATATATTACAGTGTCCCTGCTATTTACCTTGAGCTCCTTGAAAAAGATTCAAAGAAGAATCAGCAATATTATTGGTCCTGATTTTGTGGCTTGGCTTCAGTCACTTTCTCACCACTGTAAGGTTGCCTCTCTGTGCCTTTTCTATAAATACTTTCATGGTAATTGTTTGAATGAGCTCTTTGCTATGGTAGCTAGATGTTTTGAATTTAAGTGTAGTACTAGACTTGTGTCGAGATCTCATTAATTTAAAGTTGAGCTGACTAGATGTAGCAGTAAGTTCTATGCTAATAGCTCCTTTTCTTGCACTTCTCGCTTATGGGAATCCCTTCTGGCTCCATGCTTTCCAGCCAATTTTAATCTGCAAAAATTTAAATGCAATGTCAATCACTATCTACTGTCCTGATTTCTCTTTTTTCTTTCCCACTCATTAGTAATGTTTCTGTTCTTAATTCTTCCACACCCTTTGACCCCCTTGTATCTTAGTGGCTTTACTGCTTTGCTTGGGGTGATACCAATTAAAAAATAAATAAACAAGTAAAAAAAATTAAAAAGTTTGCATCTTATCTTAAAATGTTGGTGCAGATTTCAATTACATTTTATATATTTCTATGCAATTTCTTTAAAGTGGAATAATTTTAGAGATAAAAACCACTAAAGACTTGTGAATTCATCCTGTGAAAAACAATATTCAAGTAAAAAAATGATTATAAGTAACCAAAATAACTATAATCTGCTACTCTGACAGCTTGCTTTTTGTTTCTTAATAATTGAATTACAAATCACTTTATCAAACCTTATTAAGTACTAAAGTAAGGTCTTTTGAAATTAATTTGCTTTCTATCAGAATATAACATGCTGTGGGAGGAAAAATGTATTTTATCATTTTCAAAATATTTAATATTTTATTCTGCATTGTATGTTTGAAAAATATGTAATTTTTTTAGTAATTTTTAATTCTATATCAAAATGCATCACCTGTGTAAATTTAAAGTATATTCAATATTTCTTTTCCCTCACTGTATAATTTTATATATATATGGACATGGTGACGTAATGGAAAACAGCTCTGATTGAGGAATTGGAGAGCTGAGTTAAAATTCCACTTGAGTTCATTACATTCACTTACATGCTAATACTGTTGAGAAAGGTATGAATCCATCTCTTCTCCCCCCAGCTGTGGGTGAATAGCAGCACAGACTGAGTCCTATAGCCTTGGATGGCAAACAGACTAGGAGAAGGACATCTTTGAATTCAAACCTGTGGAGGGTTGTTTGGGGACTTTGTAGCATACAGTGCACCAGTTCTTTGTATTTGGCTCTTCCAAAAAAGAGTTGGTTCTGCACAAGCCTTCAGCCCTATAATCAAATGGTATGTGCATGTAGTTTGGCTGTAAGAACTGAGCTGCTTAGCCCTCATATAGCAAAAATGACAGGCATGAATGCAATATATATATATATATATATATATATATATATATATATATATATATATATATATATATATAAATAAAGAGATATCATCAACCATATATGTAAATGATTACATACACATACAGATGAGCAAATAACTATTTATTTAATCAATGGTGTAGACAAAACAGTGCCCAGTGTAATTAAACAGAGCTATAAAGAATATATTAATAATTACAAATATACCTACATTTACAGTACAAGTTTCATGATTTGCCCATTCATCAGGTACAAAAGGTTATGAAGTGTTCAATATGGTTATTTTATATTTTTTTAAATTAAGGGTCTCATGGGATCAATGGTACATTGTATGTGGATTCAAAGTTCAAGATTATTATAAATATAGTATTGGGGTATAAGTTTAATAGGAATATTGATCCATTAATGTATATTGAGTCAACGGATAAGCTTACTGTAATACAAACTAAAAAAGCTGGTAGTTACCAAATAAAATGTGAGTAGACAAAAAAGAATACATGGTAAGGAAAAGTAAAAAATTTAAACAATAATAAAAAATAATAAAACAAAAATTAAAAAAGGAACACATGGCTATAATAACTGTTAAACGTTAGGATGGTTCAAGGGAGGTAACTGAATATGAAAATATATTAGAGGCAGGTCAGTGGGGTATTAAAGCAGATGTTAGGTTAATTAGATCAATTAAAGCATTAAATTATTTCTTTAATCAGTTACTGTTCATATTATTTTAGTATTATTCAGTGAAAATGATTAAAATTACACTGAAACTTTTCTTATTTTTTGCAAATAATCTGATTTTTCTAGCATTGATAATTGAGAGCATTTGTAATCTTTAGCAGTCCAGAAGCTGGTCTATAGGTGGAATTTTAATTTAGCTATTATTGCCAATACATTCATACATTCACCCTTACTTTGAATATTGCTGCCACATCTGGTTTGGTGCTCTTGTTTATATATTTAGAGATTCTTGATAAAATCCAAAGAAGAATCTGCAATATTATTGGTCCTGACCTTGCATTTTGGTTTCAGTCCCTTTCCCACTGCTGTAATGTAGCTTCCCTGTGTCTTTTTTATAAACACTTTCATGGTAATTGTTTTGATAACCTTTCCTCTATGGTACATAGACTTTATGAATTTTAGTGCTGTTACTAGATTGACAGCAAGGTCTCATCATTTTTGCAGTTGAAATGGCTAGATGTAAGTTCTATGCTAACAGTTTTTTCTTTCACCCTTTTCACGCTTGTGGAACTCTCTTCCAGCTTTTTGCTTCCCAGTCAACTTTGATCTTCAAAAATTTAAATGCAATGTCAATTGTTATCTTCTGTTTTAATTTTTATTCTTTTATTGACCTCTTTCCTTAATAGTAATTTTTCTTATATTCTCTAACACTCAGTAACACCTTGCATCCTAGTGGCTTTATTGCCTTACTTGCAATGAAATGATTTAAAAGAAAAAAAAAAGCATATACTGTACCCAAGTCATAATGAGTGTCATTCTTAAGGATGATACAATTTTATTTTCTATCAGTTTTTATATGATGAGGGCAGGACCAAGAAGTCTACTAAATTGTATTGACAAAGAAGGAGATTAAGTTGAAAAATATCTGTCTAAGATGTATAGTTTTTCCATTAATAGACTTATATACCAACATATATGCAGTGTACGATGAGTAAATTGTTGCCATTTTATATTTTTTAATTTCATGCAGATGCATTGTTGGTTTTTGATTTTGTTGACTGCACAGTAAAGTAGGGTAAGTTAGGCACCATCTCTGAGAAAAAGAGAACCATGACACAATTCACTCTGCCAGAAATTTGGAAATGGCATGATGTACTGCTTGGCATTTGTGCTGGAAGCTCCAATATGAACATTTCAGAGTGTCTGGGTGTCAATCTGAGGACAGTGCAGAGGATTCGGAAAGAGTTGGATCAGTCTAATGATTACAAAGTGTTTGGAGTGATTACTAGTGATGGCAATATTATGCCTCCATTCATCTTCTCACTGGGCCTCAGACTCAACATGGAGGCCTAAATCAAGTTCCTTGAATAGGTAGTTCTGCCTTGGGTCAAAAGGGTAGCTGCTGGAAGACCCTATGTCTGGCAACAGGACTCTGCAACATGCCAGTCATGGCTGTCAGACAATTTCTGCGACTGCATCACCTCTTACATCTGACCACCTAACTCCCCAGACTGCAACTCCCTTGATTATTATGTGTGGGGTACAGTTGAACAAGAAACCAACAAAACTTCTTGTAATACCAAAGATGAACTGAAGGCAAGGATTATGACAGCATTCACGAATTTAAGCAAAGAAACGGTCTAGAAGAGATGCAGGAAATTTCAAAGTCATCCAGAGGCTGTGCTAAAAGCCAATGACAATTTTATTGAATAAATTTACTCTTTAGTATTTCAAGATATTTTTGTGTAATTCTGGTAAATATATCTGTTAAAATGAGGTGTTATTTTCATTTTTGTGTAATTTAGACGACAATTTATCCATCGCACGCAGTACGATGATTTACTGAATTTCCTAAAAAGATGTTTATTTAATTATGCTTTTTTCAGGTATCAACAGAAACTGAGCATGGCTCTTCACCAGCTAACTCATCTTTCAATAGCTCCCTATTTGTAACCAATCCTATAAATGTAAACTTGACTGTTACACACTGGAACTCTGTATCAACTACTGCATCATCATCAGCAGCAACAAGTACTGCTACTATGCCTACTTCTAACCCAGGTCTCAAGGAGTTCTACATTGGCTTGACACTTGCCATCTCCTCAAGCATCTTTATTGGAAGCAGCTTTATCTTCAAAAAACTTGGTCTGCTCAAATTGGCCAAACATTCCAGTACTAGAGCAGGTAAGTAAAGCTTATTATGATATAGGGCATAATATTGATTTCATATTAGACTGATTGCTTAGGAAAAGAGACCCCATTACTTGGCTTTGAAATCAAATATTCTTTTAGAATATTGAAAGAGTAGATAAACATGTAAAAAGATGTATTTTGGAGAATTGTTAGAAAATATAGTTTATTTTAATGAAATTGCCTATATAGACTTATCATATAAAGTTATATTTTAACTAATTATTTAAAAGCTATGAAATTGGATTGCCCAAAATTGAATTAAAGAAAACATTAGATTTTGTAGTGAAATGTTAAGCAGTCGATCTTACTTTCTCCTTTGATCAGGTTTATGGCATATTTAGCAAACTCAGGTTAATGATGATCCTTCTACCTGTTACACCTTTCTGACTTGGGCATTGAATTATTATAAAATTAAAAAAATGTTTGTAATGTTTTTATCTGAATTTATAGGATGAGGAGTTACCATTATTTACACATGGACTAGTTTCCTCATCTTTGCTGCTGTTATCACATTGTTTCAGCTGTTGTGCCCTCCAGCTTTCATCAGATGATTGTTGATCTGGATAACTTCCATTCTGTAATGTTATCTTATAATCTTTCATGCTGTTAAATATGATCTGGAATTACACATATAACATTACAAAGTGGTCCTTTTTGAGAAACTTAGGTTGAAGAGATGGATGAAGACATCTACAAAGCTGGCAAGAAGGAAAATAGATCTTGTGACTGTTTAAAAAAAAGAAAAAAAAAAGGTGCTTTTAAATTTAATGACTTCCTAGGAAGTCTGTTGCAACCCACTTGGGATATTTCATCACTTCCTGCTATTTCTTATATAAAATGATTTTTTTCAAGACTATTTATTCATCTATGTGTGTGTTGTATATTAACTGAAAGCCTCCCAAATGTATATTATGACATGAACTGAAATAACATTTGCTGAGTTGATGACAAACACACAAAAACTTACAAACACTAATATTCTCTGTCTACAAAATGTTTTGCAAATAACTAACCATTGATTTCTTGACACATTCTGGTGACATTCTCTTGTTTTAATTTTTTCTACACTTTAGTGATGCTACTTTTTGTATTAGTATGACAGCTGAAATAAATTATAACAGTGTAATCCTAAATGAATACCCTTGGTCACAAACCAGTATAATGATACAGACATTTCATCATCTTTTAGCCTGATAGGCATTAAGTAAACTAATGTATTGTTGTGGCTTGTCCTCATCTGTCGTAATCTTCTCTCTCTTTTTAGATAACCATACATGCAACTCTCTTGTATTTTTAGATTTAAGTTTTATTTGGAAAAGCCTGGCCTAGATAATTTTCTATGAGTTTTATTCTTTTGTTCTTTGACTAATTTACATTTTCTTTATCCAGGTCAAGGTGGTTATGGCTATCTACGTGAATGGATGTGGTGGGCTGGGATGTCACTTAGTACGTATCTTATTGTCTGTGTATTTTATTTATTTATTATTACTGTCATTGATAAGTTAGGCAATAAGAAAGGTTAAGATAAACGTCTAATACAAATTTAAGCAAGTGGACCATTTTTTTTTTTTTTTTTTTACCTAAGAAAGTATTTTGCAGAAGCTTTGTATTTTATCTCCCCATCTTTTCTCCCTTTTCCTCTGGATATTAAAAGTTCTTTCATTTAATTGACTGATATATGTAAGTGTAGGATCTATACAAATCATAAGGCCAACAGCTGCAAATCTTGCAATTTGAGCAGCAGTTCCAGCACTCTGCTGCTTGCCACTTAAGAGTTTATATACACACACTCAAGATGGCCACAATTAATTAGATCAACATTTGCATGAACTGCTAAATTTTCTACCAAAGAGAGTTAGAAACACAGCTTGGATTTTCCAATTTTCAGCAAAGAGTGCATGTGACCTGTGAGCATTTCATTCAGCCAGGTCAGCTACTACATTCGTTGCTACAATATTATACTTTGGGCTTTGTTAAATGTCTCAAAGAGGATTTTGCAATGCGCTTTCCTATTTTTCTTTTCTTGTGGATAGAAATATATTTCTTTGTTTTTAAAACTTATGTAAACCTGTAACAGGGTCTTCATCCAGCTTTCCACTGACCAGCCAATGATTTACTTATAAGAATATATATGTAAATGCCTGCATTAGTGGAAATTTTAAGAAAATTAAAGTTTCCATTGATGCAGACATCTTTCTTAAAAGATGACTTTTACGAAATTAAAATATCTGTTAAAATGAATTCAAAATTCACTTCATTCCAGTTAGGGAGTTTATTATTACATTTTTAAATAAATTTATAATTTTAATTAACTAAGAAATGTACCAAAAATTGTGTTGTAATGTTTAGTTTAAAGTACTCACTTTTTTAAGTATGACTTTATATTGCACAAGTTTAATTTATAAATTTAAAGGTATAATGTCTATTATCAAAAACTAAGACATGATGGAGTAATGGATAGTGGCTTTTGGGCTAATACCTTTGGGAAAGGTATGAATCCATCTCCCCTCAGCTATGGGTAAAATAGGACAGACTGGACCCTGTAGCCTTGGTTGGCAACCAGTCTAGGAGAAGGAAAACTCTAAATTCAAACTATCTGCTGCCTTGTAGATCCTGCCTCTTTAACTTCTGAGAGGAAGTTAAAGAGGCAGGTAACTTCAACATCCCCAGTGCAAAAGGAACTGGCAGACCATTACACTATTCTATCTTGAATGTCCCCATGAACCACAATTGTGAGATGGAGAGGAGTGGTAACCATGGCAGTGCAAAATGCACTAACTGAATAAATGAGGACTTTTTTTTTATTGGTTCCTAATGCACATTAATGGCATTTCATCTCTGAAGATCTATGGATATTTCTAAGGTTACTTAGTTTTCATATTTGCTTATATTCTAGCATATATACATTTTGCTTAATATCTGTAAGAAGAATTACAATTTTGCTGAAATCAGTGTGCAGTCAAGTACAATCTGCTTAAAGAATAAAAATTATAATCCATTCTGTCAATAACACTTGCATAAATTCATGACCTATGACAGTCCCATTTTTCATGATTTTTAATGCTTTCTGAATTGAAATCATATGCCTCATATGTATAGTACTGCTATTCTGTCAGTAATATTTGCATTAATTCCTGACAATCCATGTTTTATCATGTTTTCAATGCATTTCCATAGTAAACTACAATCCATTTCCAATATAATAGTAATAAAGTCATTAGCAATCACTTACAGTGTGTGTGTGTGTGTGTGTGTGTGTGTATATATATATATATATATATATATATATATATATATATACTATAGTCCTATTCTGTTAGTAATATTTGCATTAATTCATAACTATTAACAGTCTTTTTTTTTTTGTTAATATTTTCTTCTTTATTTTCAATGAACACTATACTGTTTGAAAGTTGATAAAAGTGAGTTTAAGCAAAAAATATGTAATATTTGGTCTTTAATCATGAATTTTTATTCTCTAGTGACACAAATAGTACAGAAAATTACTAATACTGGAGAAGGAGTAATGGCAAAATCAGTGGGCAGTAAAATGAAAATTCAAAAGCTTGTGTATATATACTTGGTTTAAATGCAATTGATGGTAAAAAACAACTCTAATGAACAATTATCTTCCCTGTAAACTGTTTTTCTTACCTCTTACTCTGTAACTCCCTACCTCGAGTGGCTCTTGGATCTTGTACAGAGTGAACATTATTTTAAAAATAAAAAAATAAAAGATTATTGTTTTATTTTGTTTTCCATCACTACTGGAATTTTCTGTCTCTCTATATCAGTAATTCTCAACCGCATATATATATATATATATATATATATATATATATATATATATATATATATATATATATATAATGTGTGTGTGTGTGTGGAAGTAGTAATGGTATAGCATTAGTATTTGAATAAATGAATAAGTATTAAATTTTTTATTCCACATTAGCTAAAAAGGCTTTATCAGTTTTATTGCAATTTTCTACTACTTATTTATGTGACTTAGGCTTCTCAAACCTAAATAACATCAGAAATAAGAAGTGAGAAAGACTACACTCAACTGAAGAAGAAATGAGTTTGCTTGCACATTTGACTAAACATTGAAGAAATCCCCCCCCAAAAAAAAAAAAAACACCAGGCACAGGTTTAACACTAAGCTGCACAAATAGTTGAATAGAAACATTGAAATAAACTATATTCATATTTTTTCATTTTTAAAAATCTATGGTTATTTTCTTAACATTTAAATGTATACTCTTTAAAAATTTTGCTTAGTGTGTCGGGATATTTTCATTTGCTTCTAGGTGTGTTGTTGCTTAAAAAGTTTGAGAAACACTGCTCTATATACAGTGTATCACAAAAGTGAGTACACCCCTCACATTTCTTCAAATATTTAAGTATATCTCTTCATGGGACAACACTGACAAAATGACACTTTGACACAATGAAAAGTAGCCTGTCTGCAGCATATATAACAGAGTTAATTTATTTTTCCCTCAAAATAACTCAAAATATAGCCATTAAAAGCTAAATCCCTGGCAACAAAAGTGAGTACACCCCTTAGGAAAAGTTGTCAATATTAACATACAACATGTCAACTGTCAATATTTTGTGTGGCCACCATCATTATCCAAAACTCTCTTTACTCTCCTGGGCATGGAGTTTACCAGAGCTTCACAGGTAGTCACTGGAATGCTCTTCCACTCCTCAATGACGACGTCGCGGAGCTGGCGGATATTTGAGACTCTGCACACATCCACCTTCTGCTTGAGGATGGCCCAAAGATGTTCTATTGGGTTCAAGTCTGGAGACATGCTTGGCCAGTCCATCACCTTTACCCTCAGCCTCTTCAGTAAAGCAGTGGTTGTCTTGGATGTGTGTTTGGGGTCATTGTCATGCTGGAACACTGCTCTGCGACCCAGTTTCTGGAGGGAGGGGAACATGCTCTGCTGCAGTATTTCACAGTACATGTTGGAGTTCATGTTTCCCTCAATGAAATGTAACTCTCCAATACCTGCAGCACTCATGCATCCCCAGACCATGACATTCCCACCACCATGCTTGACTGTAGGCATGACACACTTATCTTTGTACTCCTCACCTGGTCGCCGCCACACATGCTTAAGGCCATCAGAGCCAAACAAATTAAATTTCGTCTCATCAGACCATAGGACATGGTTCCAGTAATCTATAGGCTTTGTTGACATGTCTTCAGCAAACTGTTTGCGGGCTTTCTTGTGTATTGCCTTCAGAAGAGGCTTCCTCCTGGGGTGACAGCCATGCACACCAATTTGATGTAGTGTGCAGCGTATGGTCTGAACACTAACAGGCTGAATCCCAATCTCTTTAATCTCTGCAGCAATGCTAACAGCACTCCTACGCCGATCTTTCAAAGAAAGCATTTGGATGTGACTCTCAGCACGTGCGCTCAGCTTCTTTGGATGACCTACCAGAGGCCTGTTCTGAGTGGACCCTGCTCTTTTAAAATGCTGGATGATCTTAGCCACTGTGCTGCAGCTCAGTTTCAGGGTGTTGGCAATCTTCTTGTAGCCTTAGCTAACTTTATGTAGTGCAACAATACGTTTTTTAAGATCCTCAGAGAGTTCTTTGCCATGTTGGAACTTTCAGTGACTGGTAAGAGAGAGTGTTAGAGCTGCACTACAAATTTGAATACACCTGCTCCCCATGAACACATGGGCATAGTTACACTAATGAGTCACATGACATTTTGGAGGGAAAAGAAAAGCAGTACTCAATTTAGACATTTAGGGGTGTAGTTTCTTAGGGGTGTACTCACTTTTGTTGCCAGGGATTTAGCTTTTAATGGCTATATTTTGAGTTATTTTGAGGGAAAAATAAATTAACTCTGTTATATATGCTGCAGACAGGCTACTTTTCATTGTGTCAAAGTGTCATTTTGTCAGTGTTGTCCCATGAAGAGATATACTTAAATATTTGAAGAAATGTGAGGGGTGTACTCACTTTTGTGATACACTGTATATGTAATCATGAGAAGGAATAAAAGTTTTGATTGTTTTTGTTTATTAAATGATACTCATGATATTATGGGTTAAATAACAAAACTGTTGCTTAATCTTTAGTGAAAACCAAACTAATTGGCATATGTATTTTTCAGTGACGCTTGGGGAATTTGCCAATTTTGCAGCTTATGCATTTGCACCTGCAACACTTGTGACACCTTTAGGGGCTCTCAGTGTTTTGGTCAGGTAAGTTGGATTAGATTTGAACAATAAACAGGGCTTGCCTGCCACATGGTTCTGGATGAAAATAACAGCTTGAATAAAACAGTTGACTCAATGAAATAAGCCATTAATTGACTAAAATATTTATGCAATCTCATCATAGTATTTTGACAAGTATGTCTCAAACCTTAATAAATGACTGGATCACCATAACTGAACTATTTTTACTATTTTGTCTACCATTAATTATGATTAGTTTGAATATAACTGCTTATTGAAAGCAGATGAAGTTATCTTATTTAAATTCTTAATTGTTATTCTTAGGTTTTCTTTGAATTCATTCTTGGCCACCAGAATTTATCATATGAGTTTATCAATTCTATTTAGTCAGCTTTTTATTCAAGTTGTTGTCTTCCTCCAGGACCATGTGCCTACAATCAAACCATAAGCAGTTTGTATTAAAAAGAATTAATTCTTTCAATTAAATATTTGTATAATTACAGAATTTATGAAACTGTTTTTATTATTAATTTTTGACTCTTATTTCTTTCATTGTAATTTCTGTTGCTTTTCATCACAATTCTCAAATCCTCATTCTGTGGTGGTTGTTAGTAAGCAGCATAAAATTGAAATAATCTGTCTGTAACAAGATATGGAAATGAAGTTTAAACCAGAATCTTATTCTTTTTTCTTTCAGTCCTACTTACTAATGATTATACAATGATGATCTGTTCATTGTGATAAAAAGCAACTGAAATTAAGATGGAAGAAATATTACTCATCTACATGAATACTTTTGCACTTTAGTATTTTTACACTAACACTATTATGCATAAATTCTTACATGAAGCATTGTCAATTATTATTAATTTAAATGAGTGTTTTTCATCTTATTTCTGTTGCTTTTTCCTCACAACTTTAAGATTCTGATTTTCATGGTTGTTAGCATGGATTAGAAATAAAGAATAAGTCTCTGGCAATATTTGAACAATCATCTCTTTTCCTCAGAAAGCCTACTTAACCAAATTATTTGCTTTACTAATTAGGCTATGAAGGTGAACAAGTTATAGAAACTCAAATATAACCATATAACTCATTATTTCTTCTAAATAGTGATTATTTAAAAAATATCAGGAACCATATTCTAAATAAGCATTTTAAACTTCCAGTTCAATACAATCATACAAAACTAACAGAAGCATTTAAATAACTTTTATAACATAATAAGAATAGAAAATATTAAAAAATTATTTACTTATCACAAGTCCATCTGTTTCATATAAAGGCTTCAAAGAAACACAGTGCTGTTAGTTATTCTGGCAAAAGAAAAACTCATTCTATGAAGCACTTTTTAAAATGCATTTCTTCTTGGTGATTTTAGTCATGTTTACTTACAGACAAGTTTTGTTTGGTTGTTCTACTGACTTGGTCATCTCTGCCTATAAATGAATTAACCATATTAGAGTTAATTAATGTAAAAGTTAATAGTTGAAGGCAGTCTGATAGACTTCTCAATTTTATAGCTGAGAAATCTGTTGGAGGGTTTTCAACTATTTTTTTAACATAGATTTGTTTGCATTATAGGAAGGAGTGCTGAAAACTTACCAAGAAGCCTTTCTAAAAAAAAAATTGTTGAGTCATCATTTAGTCAGATTTTGAAAAGTAGATGTCGTCAGTAATTTTTCAGCAATCATTATTCAAATATTGTTTTTTGTTTTCTTACTTTTCAGTTCATTTATTTATGGCTATCGCAGATATACTACATATATGGAAAGATTAAAGATTTTTATCTTTTCTTTCTCTCTCTCTCTACTTCGTCCCTCTCCTATGATAATGTCAACTAATACTTTAAAAATGGGTGGCCAAACATCATAGTAATTTGTTAAACAAGTAATTATTCTATACATGAGGTTGTAATCTAAGCCTTTCTTAGTTATTAAATTAAAAAATGCCACTCTATTGGAATCCACATTTGACTGGCTTTATACATTTATTCTAAAGACTAATGTGCAGTAATTTCATGAGGATGGCTATAAATGGATCATCAGAAATGTAGCAACAAAAAAAGGAGGTGAGAGAATTTATCAATGGTTGACTGAATCAGAAAAATCTTCATGTTCAAAATTTTTATTAAACCAGAACTACTATATTCTGAAGTAGTAAAATATAGCCAAGTAATATGTGGACATAAGTCTTTAATAAAAATAATATAAAAAATTCAATCAATTTAAATGTCCTTGAAGTTATCAAAGTCTGAGTCATCAGATCCTGAGGAGAAAATTTCAAATTAATAATAATAAATTTTGTTCATTGATTGCTAAAATGTTTTTGTCCAATTCACTTCCATTTTTACAGTCAATTTGCACCATAAATTATATATATATATATTGCATAGTGATGGGTTTCACTCAATTTTTGTTTTTTTAATGATTATCAACCCAAGTAAGGTAGTACAGGCACTAGCATGTAAGGGGTTTACAGGGTGTGGAGAAATTAGGAACAGAAACATTAGTAATGAGGAAAAATGTGGAGTCTTGAACCTGAACCCATAAAACTTGACTAACTGTAGTAATTTTTTTTGCTAAATTATCTAATGTGGATTTTATCTTAATGCATGTTTTGATTGAAAACTAATTAGTTATTTGTTTAATATTTTTAAAAAATTTTCTCTAGTTCAAACTATTTTCTGGACAGAATTTGAATATAAATTATCCACTTCTTTTCTGAGTGCTTTCAGCCTTTGTAAATCATTATTATAGTATTTTTTATGGGGCTAGAAGAAATTCTTTGAAAATGGTTTGTTAAAGGCAAAAGCACTGAGAAGACATTGGGCAATTTATGTTCCAGCAGGACTCAAAACTGCATTACTTTTTGCAGGAGAAACCACCATCTGATTTGGTGTGCTTTAACTGCTCAGCTATAACAAACTTGACAATCGAGCAAGGTTTTATTTGCCTATAAAACAAAGGTGGATACAGGTTTGAATCCTGTGTATGTATTTTTTAACAGGTTTTCTCAAGTGTGCAGGCTGGTAGACAAAATAAATACTGTCTTACAAATAAGTAAATTTCTTTTTATGTCCATCTGTCATAAAACAGGGCTATAATTAATGCTGATGAATTAAAACAGTATACTGGTGCTGGTTATAACTTTTATTGTGATTTGTGGGGTCAGTCTACCCAGATTTTGTGAGGAAAAATAAAATCCAAGTGTCATGTCCACAAATACAATACAAAATTATAAACAACACAAAGAAATGACTTTTGCTGAAGAAGACCAAGTTAAATATGACAATAACATTTATAGTCAGATACAAATTTACATATTAAAAATCAATGTTCTTTGTTGTGGCCATGAAAAGACCAATAGTTCAAGTGTTCAAAATGATTTGTCACAAGTGAGTGTGCCAAGTTCAAAATGATATGTATGTGTGTGTGTGTGTGCTTGTGTGTGTGAAGTACACACTAATGAAACATGTGTGACTGCTGACTGATTGCATGTGATAACAGTAATTTTAAAATATAGTTGTGGTGTTGTATGTAGAAAAATCATTACTGACATACGCGTTGTCATAGTACAAATTGTTGTTAATTGAGGCCGGTCTGGTTCGCTGACTGTTTTGTTTAGATCTCATCCCTGACGTGCCATTTTTATGGTTTATGGTGAGTCAGTGACCAGCTCATGAATCTTATCTGAGTTTTGCTGGAATGTACTCCATAGCCCAAGCCCTGATATTTTTCCAGGTAATTTGGAATTCAACCCCATGGACGTTACAGAGAGCACATCACATGACTTGTTATATTCAATCAGGTTCCAGAAATCACTTATTTAATTTCGAGACATGTTTGTACAGAATTGTAAAATTACCTTTCTTTTTTATTTCTTTTTTTTATTTACTCTGTTCGAACTCTTTAATTGTTTTAGAATGTCATTGTTCTGAGGTGAAGTTTACATCATTTTCAGTTAATAACATACTCACAGTTAAAAGCATATTTTAGTTGTTTTTTTAATCATCAATGCCAATAGTGAAAAAATAATGAAAAAAAATCTCATAAAAGAAGTTCAAAAATATTTGAACAAGAATGATGAAAAATTCTGAATAAAAAAACATGTAAGAATTCTTAATAAAAAAATCCAAAAGATTTCAAATAAAAAAAATTCATAAAAGTTTTACAAAAATAATATGAAAAATCTAAATAAAAAACAAAAATTTTAAAGGAAAATAATAAGAAAAATTTAAATGAAAAATACATAAAAAAGTAGCCTCTAATGAAAAAAGTAGTTTTGACAAGGAATCCTCAATACTGTAAATAATCAGAATCAAATAATGCTAAATTCTGATTGATCAAGAAGAATTGCTCTCAAACCTGCTGAATGACAATGAAGACAAAGGATGGCTTTAGAACAGCAGGAGACTGAAAGAAAACATGAACAAGAAAATAAAAGGATTCAAAGAGAACAAAAAACACTAGAGGAATGAGTGATCAGATTAGTCTCAGAGTCTGAATCAAGGAAAATATTAAGAGAAAATATTTCTGAAGAGAGACTTGCTGAGATAAGAGAAATTAATAAGATTTTTCATAAACAACAAAGAGAGAGTATTTTGAAGGAAAGAATAATAGAAATCAGTGAAATTAATAGAATTTCACATCAACATCAAAGAACAAATATAGAAGAAAACTGTTCTTTTACCAAAGATTAAGCTTTTTGCAGAACAACTTTTAGGTTTTTCAAGAATACAGTTCCATGTCAAATTATCCTTTGCAATGGGTATAAACAAAGCATAGGGACAAATATTAAAGGAGGTAGGTGTCAATCTTCAGAATCAAGTCTTTACTCATGGACAATTATAAGTTGTTCTTTCAAGAGTTGGAGATCCTGAAAAGCTCTTATGTTATTCAGAAGAGGACAAGATCAAAAATACTGTCTATTCTGATATTATAGATTGTAATGACAAAGAATAATCCAAAAATTATGAAACTTGAATACAAAGAAAATGAGCTGTTAAAACAAAATTTTAACCACTTAGCTTGTTAGGTTAAAAATGAAGCATCTACTCAAATACAAGTATCCACTAATAATGTTTGAAGTAATAAAAATATTAAATTTTGTTAAGAATGACACACAAGTTATATCTATTATGTTTTATAAATCTTTTTATTCTCATCTTTGTGTTGAATGTGTAAAGGAACTGTTCATTCTTATTAAGATTTGAAGCTTTCAACTGGTTTCTGTCGTTATCAAGAATAAAAGAAATTCAAAGTTCATGTTTTAGCTTGCTTTTTCAGAATGATTTTGAGTTTTTAATTTCTGTGTTATGTAAACATAAAACTGACCATTGATAAAAAAGATTTTTTTTTGTTCAAGTTTAAATTGTTTTTTTTTTAATTTGTAAATATAAAATGATTATTAATTTGGTACTGACAGTCCAGGATGTTGCTTAACTTTGATCAAGAAATTATAATGAAGTTATAAACATACTTGAACAGAAAATTTCAATTATATATTATTTTGCTTGTCTTTTTTTTTTTTTTTTTTTAAACAGTGCTTTGTTATCTTCTCGAGTGTTAAAAGAACGTCTCAATCTTCTGGGCAAAGTGGGCTGTGGTTTGGCTATTATCGGTTCCACTATTATGGTTATCCATTCACCCAAGGAGCAGGAAGTTGCCAATATGGCTGAACTGGAAGATAAGCTGAAGCAACCTGGTAAGACAGAATGAAAGTTTTTATTCATTGATTATGATATGCCTTATGGCTAAAATAGTAATGTATTTCCACTAGTGCCAAAGGAAAAACCACGATTTTAAATGTTGATTTTCTGAGTAGTCATGCCATCTAAGAGAATTGGCACAATACAATTTTCCTTGTCCTATTAGACTGCACTTAGGCAGAACCATTTTAGTCTTACTCAGATAGTCCAGAGTACAAACTAAGCTAAACAACACCTACAACAATAAAAATACATCACAATACAGGTTGTATTATATGCTACCATATGTCTATGTTGGTATGAAAATAGCACAAGTTAGTTTAGAACACAAATTTTAGAGATTAATATTTCACAGTGTCTCAAATATATATATATATATATATATATATATATATATATATATGTTTGATACTTAGTGGAAAGTGCTCAATATCTGTGATAGAGCTAACATATTCAGTTGCATGCATATTAGTTTGTAACCCCAGGTTTCACACTTTTGCGATCATCAGGCAAACTATGTGTTTGTTTGATGATTGCAGAAGCATGAAACCCGGAGTTACAAACTAATATTCATGCATCTGATATATATATATATATATATATATATATATATATATATATATATATATAGTTTATGAAAAAAACTAGGTAATCCGTATGGGTAAACCTAAGAAGAATAAAATCCAGAGAGCTATATATATATATATATATATATATATACAAACACTTCATAAACAAATTTTCTGAACAAAAATGTCTCAGGTGATAACTGGTGTCTTGTGTGACAAACATACAAGCTGGTAAAAATGTGGGCAATTGTGGTGGAAGAGGTAGGAAGGAAAGATATTCCTAGTTCTTTGTGGAATGATATCACTCTGATAAATTGGTATCAAGCCGCAGCAGAAATATTTTCAATGACAATGCCATGTCTCACTTTAGAAACATTTAAAAATGTAGATAAAAACAAATCTCATTGGACATTTTTTTTCACAAGATTGATTCAATCAGAGTTGAGTGGTGCTAAGAGAACCCCCCCCCTCCGAAAGTCAGTTACCTGATGTTTTTATGGAAGGAGACACCCTTTCTAAACAATAACATCTTTCCCCTTCCTCACCATCTGCCACTTATGCTATCAACTGTACAAGTACAGTAAAATTAAATTATGTTTTCATTTATATTTCATCTGTTTAGTATTGTGCTTATCTTTTTTGTGCTAGATTTAATGATTTCCATCAGTTTTGTGTATGAATTTGTGCACAAAGTATTGCTGTAAAAATTTAAATAAGTAAGCATTTGGGGCCCAGCAATGGATTAATCCATTTTACACTGATTCATATAGGGAAATAGTTTCAGTTTACAATACACCTAGACAGGAACAAGTTAAATTCATAAACCAAGGTTTCACTGTACATACATGTGTGTATGTTGACAGCAAGCAATGTAAGTTTTCTAAAGACGTATAAGTAGATCCAAGCAGTGGAAGTGTTAAAAAGTGATTATCTCAGAAAAGGTTATTTTAGATCATTCTATAAACATTACATTCACTTATGTACTAAAAGCCTTGGGAAAGAAATGAATCCTTCTCTTCTCCCACCAGCTATGAGTAAATAGCAGGACAAATCGAGTTCTATAGCTTTGGATGGCAATTGGTCTACCACAGAAAGAGATCGCAACCTACTGCAGAAAAAAAATCTGCCTCGTCAGTCATGTATCGAAAGATACATGATCACCTAAGCATGTATCATGCATGGCACGTAACTGACTAACTATAAGCAATAAGCATTTACTCAAGATAGTTTATTTTGAAACAAGGCCAAATGGAAAGAAACCAGCAGAAAAAGACATCAAGCCAATCTTCTAAGTAGAAATGGCTGCCTATGTACCTTGAAAAGCAGCATTAATTTTAGAATAAATATCTATCTATTATTATTATTATTATTATTATTATTATAAGCTGAATTCAGCCTGTTTGATGGGTTCGATAATTATATATTTCCAACTGATGCCAATATAAAGCTAGAATTTCAAATGCTGATTTTCAAGTTAGCTAAACAGGCCAACACAGTTTTCTCCAACCTCATTTGTTTTGTCTTAATTTTAGTAAATATCAAAAACTCCTTAGAAGCAGAAGCACCAGAAAGAATTTCCAGCCCAAATGATGCAAACAAATGTCAGAATGTAATTACTGATGAAAATATATTTGAATAGACTTTGAAGTGACAGAAATTTGGTTCTACAGAAGGATGCTGAGAATACCATGAACTGAGCATGTGAGCAAGACAAGTTTTAGAGAAAATGGAAACAAAAAGGGGCCTTTATATTTAACATCAAAAAGAGAGAGTTGATTCTAGGGCACATAATAAGGTTGGGTGGTGGAACAAGGGTTTAGAAGAGATAACAAAAAGACAAAATTTATTAAATGTCTACAAAGGACAGGAAATTGTGGAGAGCCTAGATCACCAACATCCTGAAGTGACACGATACATAGAAGAAGAATTTATATTCAAGGCTTTGATTCATAACTTGTATGGTCTTCAAAGAATATATGTTCATTATCACAATCTATATATAAAATTCAGTGACTTCTGCTTGTCTGTCTGTCCATCACACTCTCTAAAATAGCCATACATTGACTGATCAAAACCAAATTTTGGGGAAAAATGCAGGGAGGTAAGGTGGGGTACAAAGTACAGTTGGTTTTACTAGGGTGAGTAGCTTAGTACAATAAATTTTCATTAATTTTGGGGGAAAAATTAAAAGTTTTATTATTTAACATACAAATGCTCCCACTATTTTAAAAACAATGATTAAAATAACAAATACTTATTTAATAAAAATGCACTATTGTTTTTTGTGTATCTTTAAGTTTTTATATACAAGAATCTAGTTTCCAATTTGCCCTGTGTTTGCGAGAGCTATAAACAAATCAGAAACAATTCAAAAAGTTGGAATTTAGCTCTAGAAAGAAATATTTATGCATAGCCAGTTGTATGTTGAATGCTCAAAAATAAGAAATCCTAAGAATTTATTCTGCTTTGCTAAAAAGGAAAAATAGAAATTTTCTTAAAAAAAATTGTTTACCATGAAGTCCTATAAAATTAAATTAAAGAAATTATTACACCACAAAGTAGGGTTTTTGTCAAAGTATTTTTCAAAACAAATTAGCTTATTCAAATTTCATCTATTGGTTTTCAAAATTGAATGAAATGTTGAATTTGTAAATCTCGACAAAAAAGTGTTCACAATAACATCAACAATACTAAATACAGAGGGTATTCTAACACACGTTAGTGTGTTGCAAAAAAATTCTAGTTTTGGAAGAATCTTACCCAAAGGGCTAAATAGCAATTTCTTTATTCTGACATTGCAATAAATCTTGTTTTCTAAATATTTATTGAAGTGAATATAAGAATTTTATTTGTTACTACATAAAAGTAAACTTGTTAATAGTTTTTTTTTTCTTTTCATTTTCACAGGTTTCATTGTCTACTCTCTTCTGGTTGTGAGTGTGACTGTTGTCTTGATTGTCTACTATGCTCCTCACTATGGCAACACTAACATTCTGGTTTACATAGGAATCTGCTCTTTGCTTGGATCATTTACAGTGATGGGATGTAAAGGTATTGGTGTCTCTTTGAAAGAGGCTGTGGCATATCAGAGTAACCTTCTGTTGAGCTGGCTCACTTGGTTGCTCCTACTGATAGTCATTGTTTGCATTATCATTCAACTCAACTACCTGAATCGTGCCCTGGACACATTCAATACAGCCGTTGTCACCCCGATCTATTATGTGTTCTTCACATCGGCAGTCATAGTGGCATCATTGGTCCTCTTTAAAGAATGGGGCAACATGAAGCCTGAAGATATTGTTGGAAACCTTTGTGGTTTCTTAGTTATTGTTTCTGGAATTTTCCTTCTGAATGCATTCAAAGACATGAACATTACTTTAGCAAATTTGCCGAGCTCAAGAAAGACTGAAAATTCTTCTAATCATGATGACAAAATGATGTCTTCAATGTGTCATGACGATCGACAGACGTTACTTGCAGACAAAACACGTGTCAAGGAGTATACAAATTATTGAATAACAAGCAGCTGATCTTCTGCTTGATAAATTTATTTCTTGTGATCCTCTCCACAGCACAGTTGAAGAAGCATTACTTGTTGGAAGTGAACACCAAAAGGATATGTCCATTTAAAAGTTGAATTTAATGACTTAAATCAGGCACTGGTATAGAGTTTTGTGAGCATATTTGCCTGTTGAAATATTGTCAGTTCCAACCCGAATTTAAGAAGAATGCATGATATGGTATTTTTTTTTTTTTTTTTTTCTTTTTATTCAGCTTTGTTGGAATCTCAATCATGAAGTGGTTTCAACTACCTATTTTCTTTCTAGGTGTATTTACAAAGTGTTTTATTCCAGGTGAATGATTCAACATTGGTATTACATTGTATATTGTTTAGGAGATATCAGTATCAGAAACTTTTCCTTTATTTGAGAGGGATTTATAGACAACAAATCTTATTAATTACAGTAACTGATACACTGAGCTCTCCATTTTGATATCCATTTTAATGTTCTGAGCACCATGTTATGCTCCTGTTTAAAGGTTAGTGTACAATTGGAAGAACAAGCTTCCTTATAAAATGTACCAATTTTATAATTTCTGTGAAATTCATCAAGAATGTGACATTATCATCAACCTTATGGTTGTTTATGAATGCTTAAATACTGTCAGTCTGCAGTTTACAGCTCACATATATAATGAAACCCCACACCTGTGATGAAACAAAAAAACAAAAGCCATTTGTTTATATGATAATGCATTTTTCAAGGAGCTTTTTCAGAATTATTTTTGATATTTTTCCTTCTAAGGTCACATTTTGAAAAAATCTTTAATGAATTTAGATCACTGTAGATTACAAAATAAATTAATTTTGTCATAGAACATGGAGGGGCTATATATATATATATATATATATATATATATATATATATATATATATAAAAAAAAAAATCTACTGGTTATACTTTTTACATTTGTCTCTCTTTCTCTCATATGTATGTACATGAGTGGGTGCCCCCACACACACACACCAAAAAAAAAAAAATAGATTCAAAGTGATACACAAATTGAACATAGTTGCACATCACAACATGTACCACAATTTGAAGGTTACCCACACTTTCTTTTCAAAGTTATGATTGAGGATGAGATTTGGCTATTCAGAAACCAAAGCTAGCAACAAGTTAATGCAAAAATACCAAATTCACCAAGTCATAAAAGTTACAGTGGGTGTGATCTAATGTCAAAACCATGTTGATTTTTGATGGGAGTTGGATTTTGCACAAGAAATTTGTTTGTCCTGGACAAATAGAGAATCAGCAGTTTTAGTTAGAATTGTTGAGAAAGTGACATGAGTGAATGGAGAAAACTACCAAAAATGTGGAGAAGCAGTAATTGAATATTTTACTATGAAAATGCCTCCAGCCACACAGCCTTGAGCATCCAAAAGATTTGGGTTGAAAAGAACATGACCTTTTGTCTCATTCAACCGATCTTTATCTATGAGTTTTTTTCCTTTGTACACTGGGGCAAGTGCACTGAATTCAGAGGCAAGTATGTTGAAGGAAACTAGTATTTCAAGTTGTAATAATAATAAATTAATAATAATAATAATAATTTCATTCTTGTTATTTTTGAGTACACACTGTGTGTGGGGGGTGCTGAAGTTCTTGGCCCTTCTCAACAAAAATCTTATGTTTGGTCAGATTTTAGAAGTGGCTCAAGCAGCTAGCTTTTCGGCACCTACTCTGTGTATGTGTGTGAGAAAGAGGGAAAGAGAGAATACAAATTTCATCTGAAGTTGCATAGAGGTAACTTTCCTCTTGCTAAAAGTTAATCGAAGATAAGTAATAAAAAAATTATAAATAGTTCTGTTGCTTTTTAATTACTCTAATTAGTGATGATATAAAATAGATTAGTAAAAGAATAATTAAATTGATTAACCATAATGTAGTTTTTTTTGCCTGCCTCATGGCTGAGATAGTTGCATATTTCCTATTGATATCAGGATTTTGCTGATTTTCAAGACAGCTCATTCTCATTTAAGATTGGCACATCACAATCTTCTTACCTTCATTCCAAACTAAACTAACCTTAGTAAATATCCATAAATTTTTCTTTTAAGAATTAATGATCTAAAAACGTATTTTGCACCCTTTTCGTTTATATTCTAAGTAATCGAGATTTTTTTTTCTCATACGGGTATGGAGTAAAGTATGGATATTTTTAGGTCTACAACACTTGTCCAAAGTCTCTTTAGTTATTCCTGGTTCAACTCTGCTACTACTGTTACTGATTGAATTAAGCAACTAGTGTCTATAACACCATCTGTCTATTGTTAAATATTAGGTTGAGTCATAAGTAATTTGTTTTTCAGAACCTTGTAATATTTTCAAGAATAAAGGTGATAAAAAAAAAACGGAAATTATTTATGACTCAACCTAATATTATGAAATTATTTATTTATATATATATATATTCATTTTATTTTTTGCATGTATAGAAAGAAAATATTTACATATTCAAGAAGTCAGAAAAGATTTTGGCAATCTTGGAGTGTTAAAAAGGACGGTTTTCCCTTGACACCACTATTATTTTAACTACCGTCACTCCTCAGCAGTGTTTATTGTTTTAAAAAGTGATGATTAGAATTTTAATAAAAACTAAACATATGAAAGTGAATTTATACATTTTCATTGTTCTTGAAAATTGTCAAAAAAAATAATAAACACTATTTAAATATTAGATTGTTTATTTACACTATTTATTATTTTTATTGGAATGGTTGGCCAAACATCAGTTAATTTCCAATCAATTTGAATGTTATAAAATGGTAAATAATAAAGATTTCCTTATAGTTGGTTCACATATTTTAATAATTTAGTAAATTTTCATAAATGTATGAATAAATAATTGTTTTCATATTTATTTCTTTATAAATTGTTAAATGATAAATATTGACTTGCATTGTTTTTAGAATGTTGTAAATATAAAATTATTCTTGTAATTAAACAGTCTAATAAATAAATAGTGTTTAATATTTTTGTTGTAAATTCTCAAGAACAAAAAATGTATAAATTCACTTTCATCATATGTTTAAGATTTCTTATAATTCTAATCATTGCTTTTTAAAACAATAAACATTGCCAGAGAATGAAGGTAGAAACTGTCCTTTTTTTGCTGGCAGTAATCTAAGATTGCCAAAATTTCCTTTTTTTTAATTTGTCCATATATTACAAATTATTATTTTAATTTATATAAATTGGCTTAAATGCCACTTTCTGTGTATTCCATTCAATGTCAATTCATTTCCTACTTATAGAATTTTCCCTTAAACTTTACTTCAAGTCAAGTCATTTATAGAATTTAGTAGTTTGCCCCCAAAATGAATGGCAGTATTTAATTAGCTTTTTTTATAAGTACAAAGCAATTACCAAATTATTATATATTTATCTGCAAACTAAAAAGTCAAAGCCATAAATTATGCCAGCAAATTTTGACAGATTAATAATATGTATTTTATATATGTGCATATTACAATTATTTACAAATTATAATTATCATTATTTAAGCTTCAAGAATTCTTCCCTGCATATTTCTCTTATTTTCTTAAGAAAAAAGGGAAACAAATCTGTAATTTAGCAGTTAATAGATCTGGAGGTTTTTTTGGGTTTTTTTACCCCTAAATAAACATTTTTTTTTTTTTAACAATTTATAATTAAAGTAAATTGGTGACTTAATCAGATTGGTAATTACTTTATTTTCCAAATTAAAGAATTTTAATAGTATTGTGCTAATAAAAATTATGCTGTGTTGTTTTTGCTATGTTATGATGACAAATATAGAAATTACAGAAATTGGATCATTATAATATAGATTAAATTAATATGAATACAATTAAATGAATTTATTAATTTAAACATGATACTTTTCAGACACTTTTCATTTCTTGTTCTAGCTTTAGCCTTGGTTGATAAGCAACATTAATAAGGATTTTTTTCTGATTACTGATATAAAACAGGTTCTTTATTAATATACAAACTTCTTCAGAAAAATGTTACATTTAGAATGTCTTGCTCATATTCTATGAAATAAAAAAATAACTCTTAATTTTTTTTGTTAGAATAAAAATGTACTAAATAAAGTTTCAGATAAAAAGGAGATGAAATTTATCAGAAACTAATGCCTCTCTAAAATTGTTTTCAATGACATTATACATGAGTGATTTTTAAGTAGTGATTTAAATATTTTGATAGAAATGAAAGGTAGTTGTTAAATCCATCCTTAAAAATAAACAATTTGTAGAATTTATACAAAAGGAGTGAATTCAAAGCATTACTGTAAATCCTATATATTTTTAAATATTATCATTTATGGTTGTTAGGCATTACTTTGGAAATGATTTAGAAATGCAAAATATCAGTTTTATGACAGTAAAAAGATAATTTAAACATTAGTCAACAATTCTGCTTGAATTACTTTCACTGAAAAGAGTGAATCCTTCAAAATAATGAATAGTATTTTAAACATTGTCTGTGTCTTTGACCAAGAAAGAAAATATCTTTACATTTTTTTTTAGTAGTACATTTACATTTGTAAATAACAGACCGATTTCAATTTTACTGATACAAATCTCAGTATGGTGCAAGTTTAACAATAAATACCAAACATTGTCAAAACAGTGATACTTATTCATAATAGTTTTTTTCAAATGTAATGATAGACGTTTTAAAAAAAATAATAAGTGAAAAATGTATCATTTTTCAGGTTTTACAGTGGATGTCTGCAGATTGGTATTAAAAAAAAAAAAAGGAGACAAAAGAAACAATTAACATTTGTTCTTTTAGATTTGAACAAAACTATTTTTGTAATTTTTTAACACTCATAAATCACTATCAAATTTGTTGCAAAATTTGAAGATCATATTGTGCATTTTTGAATGCATTTTGAAGAAAATAAAAAGGTTATGGTTAATTTTTTCAAAGGGCCAGTCACTTTATACTTGAGTAAAATGCTT